TTTTCGTTTTTAAAAACTGACATATTTCTTCTTTCAAATCCCAAAATTGTTTGAGAATCTTGGAGCAAGATAACCAACGTACCTCGGTATAGTATAACAAACCCGAATATTCACTATCTAACTCACTTAAGAAAGCAGTGAATTGACGCTGATTTAAACCTCGAGATCTTATAAAATTTATAACTTTTTTTATATATGACAAAACATTCTCCATATTTATTACTTTCGTGCATAGAACTTCTTGATGTATAATACAATGCAATATGATGAATGTTTGAACCGTGAATTTCACTAAGTTTTTTTCTTAGTAATGCTTACGAAGCCCTTGTTTTTCCCGGTCATTGATGGTGCGCCATCTGTAGCTACAGAATTTAATTTTGCCAAAGGTAGATTGTATTTCTGCAGAAGTCCAAAAACACAAGTAAATATATCTTCTCCTCTGGTAGTACCAGGCATCGGTATTAGTTCCAGTAATTCCTCAAAAATGTTAAAATTCTTGTCACAAGAACGAAGAAACACTGCTAATTGAGCTTTGCCACTAATGTCCGTGCTCTCCTCACAGGCAATGGAGAAACTTTCGAAACTAGATGATTTTGCTTTGATCTGATCACTTAAATTCGTGGCTAAATAAGTAACTCTTTCCGCAACTCTATTTTGAGACAATGAAATTGATTGAAAAGCCTTCACATTTCCAGGACAAACAATTTCTCCAGCTTTCATTAGGCATTCCTTGATGAAATCACCGTCAGTAAAAGGCTTCGAATGTTTAGCTGTCAACTCGGACAAGACGTAGCTTGCATGTACCGCCGCTTCACTTTCTTGCAATACTTTACTAAACATGGACTGTTGCTTTTTCACACCTGACTTGAGCTCTTTCAACTTTTCTTCTCTCATTAATCCTTCGTAATTGTTGTGCCCACCAGCGGCCGAGCGGTAAAGTCGCTGAACACTGGTAGTTCGGTCCGAGGTTCGAATCCCGCGAACGGGCTGGCTGCATGGGCGTTTTCGTGGTTTTCCCCATGTGTAACGTGTATACGAGCCAGCTTCCCTTAGAAAGTCCTCCACGAAGGCATCCCTCCCCTTAGGCAGATAGCCCTTGAGGCTTTGCCATAATCACACACACACACACCCTTCGTAATTGTTATATTTCGATTTGTATTGTTCGTAATGACGTTTAATATTATATAACTTTGATACATTAATAGTATTATTACATATCAAGCAGATTATTTTATCTTTTATTTCACAGGAAAAATATTCTAATTCCCATTTTACTTGGAATATTCTATGTTCGTCAGCGATTTTTCGTTTAATTTTATTACCACTTGGTTTTGATATAGACTTACTGAATACAAGGGCTGGAATAAACACGGTTATGGTTAAAAATTAACAAAAATATATTCTTTCCACAAGAGATAAATCAAAATGCTGAAATATTTCTTCAAAATATTCTAACAATATCACAAAATGTCAAACGTTTATCAAAAATCATTCAAACCAGAGAAACTAATTCTATCTCACAGCGAAATCGCTACAAATCAATCACCAGCATTAAGTAAACAAACAGTTCGCTAGAACTACGGCTACTACTGAGATGAGTTGTTTGTTCTCGGCTTTTATAAGCTTTTTCTCGAATATACTGGAAACATCTATAAATATCTGGATTTTTGTGGATGGCAACAGCAATCACGAGATATTTATTTATTAGGTATTAAATGCACGCGCTGTTCTATTTTTAACCTTCCAACGCAGCTGTCTTTTCAAAAATCGTCTGCGTTGCTAAGGCAACATGAAGCAAATCTAATTACAATTCTAAATAAAAAAAAACTAAATAAATAAATAACTATGAAATCCGTAACGATATGAATTAAGTAATAATTAATAATAAAGCAAAGTGCATGCACATGCATGCACCAATATATCGTACAAAACTATGATTGGAAAACTGAGACCATGAGTTCGGCCACATTCGGTTATCGGGGGACGCGTACAAGTTCTGAGTGCACGTGTCCCCCAAAAGCGGAAGGTAGCTGAATGCAAGCTACTCACGAGCATTTGTAATTTAAGTAGTGTGTGTGTCAGCTCGCTGTGAGTAATCTAACAACACTGAATAAATTATTGTTAATTTCTTAGCAGTAAACATTTCATTTTTTTCTTCGTCAATATGTTATTTTATTATTATATATTATTATTTGCCGATATACTGGCCGGGCCACAAAAATATTTGTTGTGGGGCACGAGTTTGACATCCTTGCTCTAGACTGACTAAGTATGTGACAAAATGAGACATAAAAAAAAAAAAAAATCAACATTACGCTAATTGTTAGTAAAACATAAATGTCACTTATGTTCTTTCAAATATGACCAACTATCATAAGTGTAAAATATTTAATGCTACTTGATAAGTTGCATAAAGTTTTTTTATTCTCAAACTTATTAACAGTCATGTTAATTAATTCATTTTTAGTAATAATGTGTACTACTTAGGGATCTATTTTATTTTTAGGATGGTATTGCAAAAGTGAAATTCAGGCATAGATAATATCTTCAATTGAATTTATTCAGTTCCCATTTGCCCATAGGTCCTTAATTTTTTTCATTAATTGTCCTTAAAAGTACTTAATTTCTGTGTGCAGAAATGTGTACGAACCCTGTTTACAACTGTAGCCTTTTTTGTTTGTTTGTTTGTGATTATGTTGCTGATTGTCAGACAGAAAATACGATAGATATATGCAATGTAGAAGCTATTACAAATTATTATATTTAATATTTTGTAATAAAAGCTTTTCTAACATTTAATTCTTTAAAATGCAGCACTGTAATTGTGAAATTGAAGTTTCACTGCATAGTGTGATATCCACATAATATACAGTGAAAATCGTTTAACACGAAACTGAGGGACTGAAATATTTTTTAGTGTTAAAGTATACTGCAAAAAATATATATATATATATATATATATATATACTCAAAAAAACTAGGTTTATTAGAGTGTATTTTATTACATAGATATGTATATATGCATGTATTTAATAAAAATCAATGAAACAAAAACATCCACAAGAACTTGATGAAATTCAATACAAAATTTTAATTTTTTTTTTTTTTTTAAACAAAACATTTATTGGGTTTTTGGAAAATAATCTGATATTTTTCTTTGATTGTCATTTTTAGCATCAAATTGTTCAATGTCGTTCATTTTGTTATTCATTTCACCACTGGAATGTGTATCTAAATAACTGCGCATACATCTTATGATTTCGGATGATGTGGGAACAGGAGCTGCATTATTCATTTCATTTTCGTCATCGGAATCTGCATCAATGATATTTTTTAGGGGGCTTTGAACAAACTCCAACATGTCTTTGTTTGCCATAATTGGGGTTATTATCATCAACTACTGCAATGAATTCTTCCCATAATACAGTACGACAGTCCAATAATACAGAAACTTTCTCAAACATTTTATGAAGTGTCGGCTCACTTTCAATATCCTCCTTCTCCATTTCTTGTGGCGCCAAAGAATCGGATACTTTTGAGAATTGTGCATGACGAAAACACTTTTCATTCATTCTTGAAGTCACTGAATTCCATGCAGAGTGCAACATATGTAGATACAGAAGGAGAGCAGAGAGTTAAACTGGCCAGGTCTGGATTTGAAATTTATTCTACTTCGTGCAATGAACATTCTAAAGATGTAAAAGCCAAGACCAAAAAAACGATTGCGAGTGCAGCAAGTCTGGTTGCTGAGGCATGCAGAGGATAACATATGAACCATACTCACAGAATTTTTAGATGTTTGAGTGGCGTTTGTAGGGGTAGAAGGTGAAAGTAGTTTAGATAAACAAAACTGGCTCGTGTCACGGGCTATTCCGAGGGTATTTCAAAACCACTTTAGCCACCTTTCTACAAAACTTGAAACTACCTCTCTTTCATTTCACACCCCTCTTTAATCTCACCTGCGAGGCTGGTGTTTTCCATATTTTGTTCATTCCCAGAAAGGATATGTTGTCGTGTTAAGCGATTTTTGTTTTAGGTTTAAGAGAAACAAAATACATGAAAATATATTGTAATTTGTCAGGACCATTGTATTACTTCATGTTAACAGACATTTCATCTTATGCGTTTTCACGTTAAACGTATTTCACTATAGTTAAGTTTAACTGATGTGTTACATTTAATAACATATTATACTAATATAGAATAAAATAATAATATAGTAGACTGAATCAGGTATTTATAGTGTATTTTCTCTCTTGTATATGCAAAGGACTCTAACATCTTAGATTAATCAACAATAAAGCAATGAAAATAATATCATGTATAGCTTCAAGAAGTAGCAAAAAAACAAAAACAAAAAAGGTCTTTCCAATCAGTGCATTTCATAAGGTGGTAATGAAATAGGTCCTTGCATTTATACTAATTATTAGGACTGAAATGGGAAGACTGTACTGGCTGCTACATACTTCTTGTTCTGATTTGACATGTATTTTATAACTGATAAACAATGTCAAGATGGAAGAGAACTCGCCAAAGTAAAACATAAAACTAGCAAAGCCAGCCTTGTGTTTGGCATAATTTTAGTCAAGATTGTATCGATAGTCGAAACTTTGTCGATTTTAGTTAAAATTTTATCAATTCAGGTGCAGGTCTTTCTTCATAGAAACAAAGAAATCTGGTTACCTGTGTGCCGTCAAAACCGATAGTCTTAACTCCAAACACAAGATTATTGCTTTGCTGATTTTAATTTTATGATAAGCTATGTATTTACTTAATATTATTACTTAATATTCAAAAAATGTTTAGGTTGTATTAAAATGCAAATGATTAGAAAAACAGGTACCAAGTCATCGGATATGAAATTAATGCTGTGTAATAAAAAATATTTGTATTAATGTAATGGACTTCTTGAAAAGGAGGGAAATTAAATTTTTGTTTATTTAGTAATTACTCAAAATGTATATTATTTTTTATATATATGCAAAAAAATTATCTTACAGCACTGCCAATACATTCTGCTGCTGATTTTCTTGCAACCAAAGACCCTGATGCTGAAGAGGAACAAGAAGAAAATACGCCCATCTATGAGAAATTTGATGCATTGCTTCATGGATCTAAAGCTAAAATGTATTTATGTCTTTTGAACTAAATTAATTCTTTCATTCTTCTAAATTCATCAGCATTCATTCATTCATCTTCTAATTTCATTCATCAGCAGCCGAGCTATAAAGTCGCTGAACACTAGCAGTTCGGTCCGAGGTTTGAATCCCACGGACGGGCTGGCTGCTTGGGTGTTTTCATGATTTTCACCTTGCGTAACATGTATACAAGCCAGTTTCTCTTAGAAATGGCTCCAGGGAGGCATCCTTTTCCCTTTGGCAGATAGCCTTCAATACTTTGTCATAATCACATAAACTAAACTAAAGCAAACTCTCTTCAAAAAATTATAATGTTAGTTTTTCTTTGAATGAATTTATTGTTAAACTAAAAAAATGTAATCTTTATTTAAGAACACTTTCATTTCAATCTTTAAAGTATTTGCAGTTTTAAATCAGAATTACAATAGCCTGAAAGAGTTTGGTTCAAATTAAAATAATCTTTCATGTTAATTTTAACTTTCAGATTAGTATGACAGCAACGAGCCTCACTTCAAATTATGTCAGGTGCTTCCACTTGCTAATAAAAGAACCTTTAAATTTTTTTGTAAGGGAATAAAATTATGATGTTTTAGCAGATGAAATTACTGTAATCTTTCTAAGGGAGGAGGGATATTTTATTAATATTAGTTGTTTGTTCAATTTGAAATAATAATTTTGCTCTTAGTATTTTATTTTTACAAATATTTTTCTAGCTACATTTAAAAATAAAAACTTTGCAAGTCCATTCTGCAAGATCTGAACCCAAATTGAACTACTAGTGTTCAGAAATGTTGTCTGTTTAAGTGAGTCTAGGTTAGGTTACATAATATGTCAAAATAATTTAAAGATGGAGAATTAAAGTGTTACATACAAAATGTTTCAATAGAAGAAAATAGTGTATATTAAATGGTGTGTTTGGTGTATTTAATTATGGCAAAGCACACTAGGGCTATCTGCCTAAGAGGAGGGATGCCTTCGTGGAGGACTTTCTAAGGGAAACTGGCTCGTATACACGTTACACATGGGGAAAACCACGAAAACGCCCATGCAGCCAGCCCGTTCGCGGGATACGAACCTCGGACCGAACTACCAGTGTTCAGCTACTTTACCGCTCGGCCGCTGGTGGGTGTATATTAAATGAAACTGATGAAAAGTGAAGGCTCCAATATTATGCTGCCATATAAACTTTATTTGGCAGGATTATATTTTAGAAAGAAATGAAATTTGAATGAAGTTAAGGTTTTTTCAATATACAGGGTTATCCAAATTAAACTTCCCCAACTCAGAGGCCTGTGCAGAGTGTTGTATGGGTCATAATGTGATGAAATTTTAAAAACAGACACTTCAGATCATGCGCTCGAGATTTAGTACACAAAAAAAGTTAGTACAAGACGTTGCCGATAGGTGGCGCTGTAACACTAGTAATGGGCATATTGCAGCAACGTGACTTGCAGAAATAAAGCTTCTGCGCAACGTTATCCAAAAGACGAGCCCTACAAAAGTGGAAGACAGGCCTTGCAACAGGCAGTTGTTTCCAGCTTCGTTGATGCACAATGGTGACTTTGAAAACAAAGCCTCTGTTAGTGAAACTTTTCTGCCAGAATGACAAGAACTTCTGTGCTGCGATAAGAGCATTCCGTCGGCTGAAGATCATCACGCCGAGTGACCAATGACACACGCACTCTTCGAGACATGATGAAGAAGTTTGAAAGAACGGGACAGCTTGGAAATTTTACCAGGTAGAGGACGACAGGTTGTGGAATCTGCACGCTATAGAAGACATTGTTGCTTTGGCGGTCGTGGACCCCACTAGCCAATCACCACATGGTGTTGTCAGTGTGCCAACTGTTTCTCGTGCTGTTGATATGCCCTATACGACCGTCTGGCGTGTGATACGTCGAATCCTCGGTTATTTTCCTTACAAAATCCATAGTCGTCATCAGCTGTCCGATGGGGATCCTGTAGTTCGGGAAACGTTTGTGTTGCAGTTCCTTGCCAGAATGAAAGTCGATACTGCTTGGCCCTGGAACATCCTTTGAATGGATGAGGCCCATTTTCACCTGAATGGTCAAGTGAATACGCACAACTGCTGCATTTGGGCAAGTGAATACGCACAACTGCTGCATTTGGGCAAGTGAAAACCCGCGCGCAATCCATCAAGTGCCCTTGAAACCTCCAAAGGTTATTGTATATTGCGGTTTCACTGCAACATTCGTCATTGAGCCTTATTTTTTTGAAGAGGTGACTCCACCAGGGTTCAAAACCTGCTCTGTCACAGGAAAACGGTACTAGGACATGTTGACAATGTTTGTGATCCCTGAACTGCAACAATGTGGCCACCTCCAGGACACGATATTTATGCAGGATGGTGCACCTCCCCATATTCTTCGTGGCTTCTGGTGTTATAACAACATAAGATTACAACAACGATATTCAACAGGTGTTACGGACAACTTTTACCAATGCACGTGTGATCAGCCGCTGTTTCCCTACAGCTTGGCCTTCCTGCTCGCCTGATCTCACGCCATGCAACTTTTGGTTATGGGGAATCTTAAAGGATCGGGTCTACCGAGAACACCCAGCAACCTTGGCACATCCTGAAAGACGCAATTATTCGACATGTTCGTGGAATTAATGTGGACTTACTGTGTTCCACTGTGGAACACACTGCTTTGCGAATGTAAAGAATTGTAGAGAACCACGGCACACATATGGTACATCTGTAGAATGTCTTGTTGATCTGCAGCGCCACCTATTGGCAACTTCTTGTACTAATTTTTTTGTTTAATAAATCTCGAGCGCATGATCTGAAGTGTCTGTTTTTAAAATTTCATCACATTATGACCCATACAACTCTCTGCACAGGCCTCTGAGTTGGGGAAGTTTAATTTGGATAACCCTGTACATACGATAAAATTCCAATTATGTAGATGACTTGTTATCTTTTTATATCTGTCTTTTAGTATGGTTTTTGTCATTGTATCTCATTCATTATATTAATCATTTATTCATTTTCAGTATGGTACATATTTAAAAAATTTAAATTTAAAATTTGATTTAAAAATCTAAATAAGTTTGTACATTAATTGGCTTATAATGTTTGATAACTGTATAATCTAGAAGTTAATAGAGAAGAAGTTGCATATTGTATGAAATTCTGTTAAATGGTGAATCATTAATAGAGAAATAATTTTAAACTGGTTTTCAATTAATCTGTGTATTATTTATCTTGGAATAATTTTATCATTTTATTTTCCAATGTTAGAAAAGTGTCTTGGTTTAATTTTAACTGAATAGAAATAGGTTCAGGATTTTATTTTGTGGAAATGAAAAAGTCATTAATTTTAGCACTCTAAATATGAAAACAGGTGTGTAATATTTATGGTTTTAAAATTAGAAAAAAAAAAAAATAATTTTTATATTTTATTTGAACTGAAATGAATTTCACTCCCCGTCCAGAATTTAAATTTTTTCTCAGGCATGCAATCTTTATTTAAATAAGATATGAAAAAAAAAATTTTTTCTTTCACTTGCATTACAATGAATGTGGATTTGGACCACCAGAATAATTAATTGTATCTGTAGTTTCTTGAAAATTTAAAAATATTTCTGTTGGTGTTTGAATGATGTATTCTCAAATAATATGCATATACAAAGATCTGTTTGATGTTCATTTTTTAAAACATTTTTATTTATTTTTTATTTATTTATTTATTTATTTTGGTTTTTGGTGGTGTTGAGAGTACTATGTAGTAGGAAACATGGTTGCCTACTAAAAAACATACTTGATATAAGTGAAACATTAGTTTTAATGATATTTTCCTTGACCTTAACAAATAACAACTAAATGAGCAGAGCTTATCAACTAATGACATGTAAGAAAAAAATATGATGAATAACTGGTGATTAACTTGACTGGTATACATTTAACAATGGTAACTGCTACATTATTTCAATAGAGTCTGCTTTGCCATTGCATTAGGTCGTCAGGTATTTGACTACAGTTCTATGCAATACTTCATATAAATGCTGTTCAGGCACTTTTCTAAATTCCTTTTTATGCTGTAGTCTTTGACAGCTATATTCCAAGTTTCTATGCATCAAATCACACCACCACATTGGAGAGGCTACAGGCCACATCAATAACCAGGATGACACATATCCCGGATGGCCACATCAGAATTATATACAGTCTTTACACATTTTTCTTAGCTTCTGTGGGATTATATACAATACTGAGCTCTTCAGTACTGTGTAGACACAAGTGGGGGATGCAGATTTCTCAACATTTTTATTTTGTTTGAAGTATTTTATAAATTATGATAAAGTTCATAAAGTCTGTTTGGCTTGAGGAATTTTTGTGGTAACTTTGAAGGATTTATATATATTGGATTAAGGGAAACTTGTAAATTTGCATTACATCCGGTAGGTCTTGCATGGGCGTTGAACCTGAAATAAAGCTATGCGTAATTTTTACTGCAAAGATGTTGTTGATTAAGCAAGTTTTTTTTAATAATATTTTCATAGTAACTATTCTGTATCACTTTATTTTCACTGCTTTTAATAATTTATGTAATTATTTTATTTTAAAGGGATAAAGTAGTAAGCATGGAATTCATGAGGAAATACGTACATTTAGCGAAAGCTGTCAAACCTACATTAACTCCTGAAGCTTGTGAACGTCTGTCAGAAGAATATACTAAGCTTCGTGCATTTGATTCTCAGAATTCTGATATTGCTAGAGTAAGTAAAATATTATCAAAAATTGCAACTTCAGAATGCATTTAATACAATGAAACTTTTTATAGCAGTCACACATCTTCTTTTTCTTCACAAGCACAACAGCTCCTTACAGGCCTTGGCTGCCTCAACCATGCACTTCTTCCTGTGTCTTCAATCTGCAGCGACTCCTGTCTAGTTTATAAGTTTGATGTCATCTAATCATCTAGTTGTTTAACTCGGATTCCCTCAGTTTTTTAAATGTCCAGATGTGAGATTATCTTCTAGGCTTCACCATACATGTCCCAGCCATCTTAATCTAGTACTATTGATGATTTTTTTTTTTTTTTTTTTTTTTTTTTTTTTTTTTTTTTTTCAGATGCTTATAAAGCCTGTACAGTTAAAAGTTGTACCTTGCTCTCCAATGTCTTTCTTCTAGTACTGGTCCAAAAATTGCTCTAAAGTCTTTTCTTTCAGACATGGCCATTGAGCATTGTATGTCTTTATTTAAAGTCCACGTTTCAATTCCATAAAGTAAAATGAGTAGTATTGGTGCCTTATATGTTCGTATCTTTGTTTTGCGACTTATAATATTAGATCTTAATTGTCTTCTTAGCCCAAAGAAGCATTTATGAGTCATTTTACTTCTACTATCAATTTCTGCTCTTAACTTATTTTTGTCATTAATTATAGTGCCAATCTATTTAAATTCCTCAACACTTTCAAAGGTTAAGAATTACACATTTAGAAGTAACCAATATTTCTTAGAATGTAATTAAATACAGTAAGTCTTGTATAAGGCAACCATCCACATTTCCAAATAGTTTTTGTCTTCCATAGAGGTAGTCATCTTAGAGAAGCTAATTATTGGTTAGAAATATTATTGATTTACATGATAGATTCATCTTATCATGTAAATCAATAATATTTCTAACTAAATAATGTTGTAATATGTTGTATAATTTTATTGTATAATGTTGTATAATTTAATAATATAATAAATAATGTTGTTGTTAATATGTAATATGTTGTTGGAGTCTCTCAAACAAAAGTGCTGATGTAGATGTGCAGTGCCCCCCCCCAAAAAAAAAATTGGCAGTTACTGAGCCAATTTAGGTTTGGCCACTACTACGGCCGGAAGTGGTGGCCACTTTATTGTGGGAACACCGAACAGGTGGATCACCATTACCTATTATGAAGGGGCAGACAAATACAACCATGCCTTCTCCATGATTTGAACCCAGCCCCTTCGGTACCACAATATTCTCTCCTAAACACTATGCAGTCCGAGTGGCGACATGTGGTGTATAAGTTTATTAATACTATCATGTATAAATTCTTCATGAAGAATAATGCAACAACATAAAAGTTTTAGCAAACTACTTATTTTGTACTTAATTTTCTTAACTACTACAAGTAAATCTATTTTTAAATATGAAAGTTAGATTTATTCCCCAATAACCTCCCACCAAAAAAGCATACAAAACTTTAAATTATGAATTTTTGTAGCCATTTCAAATGCACCAATGAATCATACAGTGAAATTTGCTTACTTGATTTTTCTTTGCTGGCTGCTATCCGATTTCTAATTTTCAAAGTTTTCAAGTATTTTTCAATATCATCTGTTTATTTGTTTGGTGGTCTTTCTTTAGCTCGGGATCCCTCAGGTTTTTTTAAATGTCAAGATCCTAGTGGAATTATCTTCTGAGCTACTTCAAATATGGCACAGCCATCTTAATCTACAAGGGCTATTCAGAAAGTAAGATGAAGGTATGCAGTCCGAGTGGCGACATGCGGTGTATAAGTTTATTAATACTATTATGTATAAATTCTTCATGAAGAATAATGCAACAAAATAAAAGTTTTAGCAAACTACTTATTTTGTACTTAATTTTCTTAATTACTAGTAGCGTCTGACGTCGCTAGGTGCACGCCGATCACTTATATTTTGGTGTCTGCATGCTCTCGGCGTTCATTCATCATAACGAGAACATTTACACGCTGCCCATTTTTCCGATATTCAAATTTAAAATGTGCATGCACTTGAAAATCCCACCAGATGTGAGGTGCGGTCTGATACGGTTTTTGTTGGCAAAAAAACCTAAAACCTATGTAAATTTATCGGCAAATATGTGAAGTGTACGGAAGCAACGTAATGAATGAAAGTTCAATCAGTTTAAAAATGGCCGAACTAACGTTTAAGATGAAGAGAAGAGTGGATGCCCTAGCAATGTAACTGACGAACTGGTCACTAAAATGATGAAATATTCATGAAAACCTCCGTTTCACAATAATGGAGCTTTCGCTTAGTTTTCCACAAGTTTCACGGACTTTGTTGTTTGAAATTGTCACACAAAAGCTAGGCTACCGCAAATTTTGTGCGAGATGGGTGCCGAAATTGCTTACAGACCACCATAAAGGTCAGCAAATGGGAGCAGCTTTGACAGTTCTGGAGGCCTACGACAGACATGGTGATTCATTACTGAATTGAATCATAACTGGTGACGAGATGTGGGTGACACACGTGAATTGCGATACAAAATTACAGTCCATGCAGTAGGGGCACACAAGTTCCCTCAAAAGACCAAAAAAATGTTGGCAAACCTTGTCACCAAAGAAGGTGACTGTGTTTTTGGATAGGCAAAGTGGGCTTCTGATTGATTTTCTCGAACGTGGTGCCACAATAATTTCTGAGCAGTACTTGTCAAACTTTGCGCAACCTTAAGAGAGCAGTTCAAAACTAGCATGGAGAAAAGTTGACGTCCAAAATTTTGTTTTTGCACGATAATGCTCAACCTCACACGGCAAACTGCACTCAAGAACTCCTTAATTCATTCAAATGGTAGGTTTTCCCTCATCCGCCCTATAGTCCTGATCTTGCACCTAGTGATTTTCATTTGTTTCCAAGAATGAAGAACTGGCTAGCAACACAGCGCTTTGATGACGCAAGGAGCTACGGGTGCGCGTCACTAAGTGGCTGAGATCGCAGGCGGCAGAATTCTATAACGAAAGAATTTCAAAAAGCTTGTCCACTGCTATGATAAGTGCCTCCATTTGTTTGGTGACTATGCAGAAAAGTAGAATTTTAGTCGCTCTTTCTGATGAATATAGTAATTTTTTTCCTTGTACTTATTTTCTTTTTAATTCCAAAATGTTTCTTACTTTCTGAATAGCCTATGTATTTCTACAGATGAGCTGTGTTATTTGTGGCTGCCTATAAAGCCTATACAGTTCAAAGTTACACCTTGCTGTCCAGTCTCCCTCTTCCTGCACTGGGTCAAAAATTGCTATGAGGGTTTTTCTCTCAAACATGTCCATTGAGCTTTGTGTGTCTATATTTAAAGTTCACATTTCATTGGCTTAAAGTAAAACAAATAGTATAAGACTGTTCTGAAGCAGTTTGAATATCAAAAATAAATCCAACGTATTTTTATGATTTTGCATGTTTGATTTATTAGCATGTTTATCACATTTTTGAGTTTACAAAAAATTACTCCCATTAACCAGAATTTTCAATTTGCATATCATTCCACTCAGACAAATAAACACTTTTTAAACATCTTAATTGTAATGAATTATTTTTTTATGAATAATCTATTTCCTTTCCACCCTAAGCATTAATATGCAAAATTACCGTTATCTGTTCCTTATATTATTAGTATCGTGCACATTTGAACCCTTGAACGTGAACCATTTAGTGTTGCATTTCTCAATCTGTGGTGCTCTCAGCCTGCCTTTGTGGTCTTCCTAGATCTCCAAAAACTTAAAAAATAAAATTAAGATTAACTGCATGTGTGTTGTTCTCTCTTCATGAGTCATAAATTTAAAGATCGTTTCGTTTCAGGAGTCAAGGTTGGGAGAGCATTAGAATTTCAAATCAAAATTTCAGGAGTTCACAGAACATTTATTAACGATAAACTTATATTACTTATATTACTTCCGCCTATAGCGGCCATGAAACATAATCAAGCATCAAATAAATATGACATGCGTCATTCTTCAGTTCAAGCGTCAAGTGAAATATTTTTATCGGCGCGCATCAAGAGCGCCACCTATCTACCAAAAGACGGAACATACTCCGCCCCGTTGAACATTGGTTCATTACAACATTATTATAAAGATCTTCAATTTTAGATTTAAACAAGTTTTCCAAAACGTTCAACAATATATCATATAAAACAAAATGCATAATGACAAATTTAAATTGAATAACAACATTAAATTTAGCACAAAATTTACAAATAAAACATACTTACAATCTCTAGAAGTGAAAACAAAATAATGAAACTGCTAAATTACCATAATCCACAATTGTGGTCCATTCTCTGAATCTGAAACATATTATTGAATTAAATAATAATAATAAAGACACAAAATTATGAATATACAATTAATTTTTTTTTTTTTTTTTTTTTTTTTTTTTTTTTTTAGAGTCTTATTCACTCAATGGTAAGCGGGAAAAGTTTATGTATAGGACGCTTTCATTTCGCCCAATAAAGTTTTTAGTTTCACAACACGAACTTTTCCATCAGCACCAGGATATAGTTCAATTACTCGTCCAAGTCGCCACTTTTAATGGAGGCAAATTTTCGTCCTTTATCAAGACTAAGTCATTGAGGGCTAAATTTGGTTTATCCCTCAACCATTTGGTACGCCCTTGTAATTGTGAAAGATAATCTCTAGACCAACGTTTCCAAAAGCTCTGGAAAATTTGCTGTGTCAATTTCCATCTTTCAGCAGGGGTTAGCTTATTATTTGTAAGATCAGGTTCAGGAATTGCTGTTAATGTAGTAGTCCCAATTAGGAAATTTCCAGGTGTTAAAGGATTAAAATCTTCAGGGTCAGATGAGATGGAAACTATTGGCCTGGAATTCAAACACTCCTCGATCTGTGTAATTAAGGTGTGAAATTCTTCGTATGTCAGAACCTGGGTCCCAATAGTCCGCTTTAAGTGAATCTTCATTTGTTTCACTCCAGCCTCCCAAAGGCCTCCAAAGTGAGGGGCAGCAGGAGGATTGAAGATC